TTGGGTGTCACTTGGGGCATGTCGAACATCGTTGAGGTTGAGAGCAAAGATTGTTCTTAGGGTTTCTCACATCAGGCGTGGGACAACAATCACTAATCGCAAAAGCTCCAAAAGATCCCTACTTCGTCGAGCATGGGATGGCTCACACTAGGTATGAATACTCTAGAGACCTTTTGGTGGTATTTGCATTGGGCACAGGGTGTGTGTCGCTAGGCATCATCCTACCTGCAAACCTTTTGTTTTTATTTTGTTAATTTTCATGTTGTAACTCTTGTATTGTGATGTTGATATGGGTGTGAATTGATATTTATGTATAAATATATGAACATGAGTGATGAGTAATGTAATATGAGGAATATTTGAAATGTGAAACTATTAGTTCATGTCAATGTAATGCATGAATCTTGTTAACATGCATCATTTGTATAAAATGTGTTTTTGGGAACGATATGAAATACACCACCAAGGAAGGCCTTTTGTGTAAAAGCTTGGGAATCAATCTTGAGAATAGCTCGATTTAGAAAGTCCTAATCCTACCCTTGTGTGCATGCGGTGTATCTTGTGTGACTTAGTTATCCTGAGCAGACCCTAGTAGTATATCCTCCTAGTGAGAGTATGTAGAGAGTGTGACTTGGCATGTAATCCTGAGCTACTCTACATGTATTACTAGCGGCTAAAGATGGAGCTAAAGATGTTGGTGATAAGGCTTAGGCTTCATGATGGGTTTTTTTGATAGGACATGTGACATCAAGGCATAGTTTGGACTAGTTTAGGAGTTTGTTTCATGTTATTAAGTATGAGAGCCTTGGTTTTAATTACTTTGTAATTTCACTTATTTTTGTTAAGTTTAGTTTATGTCAACAATGTGATTCTCTCTACTTGTATGGATTTTGAGTTTATTTATTTTATATGAGGTATTTAGTTTTATATTATGTGTTATGGTATACGGGTTAGAGGGTTTTACATTTAGTAGTATTAAAGCTTAATTGATTCAAACCAAACGTGTGTCTTTTGTGTCTACCTATGTTTTCATGCGATCTTTGATTGTGTATTTTATTTGGGTTAAATACCTCTTTTCGTCCCTTATAATATTTTTTTGTTTCAATTTAGTCCCACTTTAATTTTTGGTTTCAATTTGGTCCCCAATAATTAAAATCATTGCAATTTGGGACTTCCGTCCAAATGATTTAAACGGGGTTAACTGTTGGTCACGTGGATGCCACGTGGATGCGTACGTGAACGCCAAAATTGCATGAATATACCTGGAACAAGAACGGGCCGTTCTGAAACTAGAACGGTCCGTTCTGGATGCACTCTTGGTGTGTTAATTTTGCAACCGGAACGGGCCGTTCCAAATGCAAATTTCACACACCATCAGTGCATCAGAGCGGGCCGTTCTAAATTCTGGAACGGGCCGTTCTGGATTCAGAACAACCCGTTCCAAAAATCCAACTCCATGCATCCGTTGACCAAAATGCCGCGACGTGATTCAAAAATTGAAAATAAAAATTCATAATATATCATAAATTCAAAGACAGAAACATGTTTTAGAAACTAAAAACAAAAATTCAGAACATAACATACTAAAAAAGTTCAAAAAAATTACTGAGAAAGGAAATCATCTAGGTAACGCTGAGGTTGTACCTCCTCAAAAACATGTTGTTATTGTTGGGGTACATCCTCAATGATTTCAAGGGAAAACACCGTTTTGTTTCATCCTTGACTGTATAGTGTCAATTTGGTAGTAAGTGGTTCACTCCAGTTTGACTAACAATGAAATAAAATCTGCTACCACTGTCTTTAGTGATACACTGTATTGTCCTTAATGATACACTATATAGTCCAACTGTTTAGCAATTGAAGTTATCAATTTTCATTTACAATATTACCAAATTCAGTGTTTGAAATCCTTTGTACCTTGGGTTTTTTTTATTTCACGATTCACAACCTTAAACTATAATCAGTGACGTAGTGTGTATGGTTTTCTGGAACCAGAACGGCCCGTTCTGAAACTAGAACGGGCCGTTCTGGTTTCAGAACGGGCCGTTCTGGTTCCATGTTTTTTCAGAAACTTTGGCGTCCACGTATGCATATACGTGGCATCCACGTGGATGCCACGTGGCCAACAGTTAACTCTGTTTAAATCATTTGGACGGAAGTCCCAAATTGCAATAATTTAAGTTATTGGGGCCCAAATTGAGACCAAAAATTAAAGTAGGACTAAATTGAAACAAAAAAATGTTATAAGGGACGAAAAGAGGTATTTAACCTTTTATTTGTTATGTCTTATGTGGTAGTTATCCTATTTTTTGTTGTGTCAGAGTTATGGTTGGTAGGAATGAGCACACTATTGTTGACATTCTTCAAGCGTTAGCAAATTCTATAAAGACATATAAGACTTGAGCTGCTCTTAGCTAGTTTTAGTGCTTTCAGCGTAACCACTACAAAAAATATGCAATTTAGCGACCACCAAAATCAGTCGCTAAATTGCTAAAATCGGTCGTTATTTACCTTAGCGACCGAATTTAATCAGTCGCTAAAATCCTGGTCGCTAATTCGGTCGCAAAATGGTTGCAATGATTTTGGTCGCTGAAGTGTATGAGAACAAATTAGTGACTGAATAAATTGGTTTGTAACGACCTGCCATGGTCTCTACACTTAGTGAAATCGCACTACTGCTAGTGAACTAAGAGAAATATTAAGCTGGATAACTCATACATACAAGTATAGATAAGAATGAAAATAACTAAGTTTCTGGTTATAAAATAGAACACCATATATATACAGTCATCCCAAAAATAATATAACTCTAGTACCGGTCAAGCACAGACAAAACCGTTACCCAAAATGCTGTATGTTTATTTATCATAATTGCTAACCTGCTTTCTAATTCTTTCCTTTGATACATTTTCTTTTTGTTATTTTGTTTTCTGTCCAAATATCTGTCATAATTTTCTATTAGATACAATAACTGTTCATGAGGCTTTACCTATAAGCTGGGTATGTTTCATCTGCTTTCTTAATTTCACATGATTATTTGTTTGTTCACTAAAAAGGAATTTTCTTTAAACTAAGCTTCTAATTCTTTCCTTTGTTACATTTTCTTTTTGTTATTTTTTTTTCTGTCCAAATATCTGTCATAATTTTCTATTAGATACAATAACTGTTCATGAGGCTTTACCTATAAGCTGGGTATGTTTCATCTGCTTTCTTAATTTCACGTGATTATTTTTTTGTTCACTAAAAAGGAATTTTCTTTAAACTAAGCTTGAGGATAGCTTTTTAACGTGATAAAATTAAAATCGGACTCTGATGCAAGTATATACGGACTATTATTAAAAAAATGATAGACATGAGACAAAAGTCAAAACATTACGCTGCGTGACTTGAGCCCATCAATGACTGCATCAGAGCTTGATGTTTGGACACAAACTAGAAGGTTTTATTGAAAGAATACTGGAATTAAACCAGGTTTTATCAGGGCTTGATGTTTGATAACATCATTAAGCTGGAATTTCCTACATTTTTCATTTTTAATCTCAAGTTTGAGCTTCTGTCTACAAATTAAATCCACATTAGTTTAAAAATAAAACTATAATGGAATATGAAGACATGTAATTACATGACAGATTCAAGTATACCAGATCAAATATACAAGAACATGCAAATTAACTTGTCAAAAAAAGAGCAGATATATTATACACCTATTTTTTCCTCTGCCTTCTCATATCAGCCTGTATTCAGAACCAAGATTTCAAAAACCAATAAAACAATCAGATTCCAGGAAAAATGTAAAATTCTTCAACCATGAATTAAAAAAAGAGTTGCAACGAAAGACGTGAATGAAATTGACTACCCACAGACAAAATTGCATTAACCAACCAAGGGAAGTTTTAAACTATCATCAGTTAAATACCAGCAATGAGACAACTTTGCAGAATGCGAAATCATGCAATCCACAAATTGTAATCTACAAAGGAAGAATCCAAGAGTGAGAAGATATAAAATACCTACTGACAAACTGGTGAACGTTCGAATACGAGATCTATGAGTGCTTCTTCGACTAGATACAATAACTGTTCATGAGGCTTTACCTATAAGCTGGGTATGTTTCATCTGCTTTCTTAATCTCACATGATTATTTGTTTGTTCACTAAAAAGGAATTTTCTTTAAACTAAGCTTGAGGTAGATTGGTACCGAACATATTATCACCCTTTTAACGTGATAAAGTTAAAATCGGACTCTGATGCAAGTATATACGAACTATTATTAAAAAAAATGATAGACAGGAGACAAAAGTCAAAACATTACGCTGCGTGACTTGAGCCCGTCAATGACTGCATCAGAGCTTGATGTTTGGACACAAACTAGAAGGTTTTATTGAAAGAATTCTGGAATTAAACCAGGTTTTATCAGGGCTTGATGTTTGATAACATCATTAAGCTGGAATTTCCTACATTTTTCATTTTTAATCTCAAGTTTGAGCTTTTGTCTACAAATTAAATCCACATTTATTAAAAATAAAACTATAATGGAATATGAAGACATGTCATTACATATAGAGAAATTTGGGAAGGAAAGGAGCTCACAGACCCAGAGTCATTCTCTCTAAAACTTCTCTCTAAAAACTTCACTTTCTCCTTAACCACACAACCCCTATTTATAGAAGTTTCGGAGTAGCCAGAACGGCCTGTTTCGAATCTGGAAAGGCCCGTTCTGCACCCCTACATCATGTACAAAAATCACATGCAGAACGACCTTCTAAAATCAGAATGGCCCGTTCTGGGACTCATCCAAAACGGCCCGTTCTCCATCCAGAACAGCCTGTACTCCCTCTGATGGAGTCCCTCCTACCATGATTGATGATGGTGTATTGAAGGAAGACACCTTGCCCTTAAACCAGGTTTTATCAGGGCTTGATGTTTGATAACATCATTAAGCTGGAATTTCCTACATTTTTCATTTTTAATCTCAAGTTTGAGCTTCTGTCTACAAATTAAATCCACATTTATTAAAAATAAAACTATAATGGAATATGAAGACATGTCATTACATGACAGATTCAAGTATACCAGATCAAATATACAAGAACATGCAAATTAACTTGTCAAAAAAAGAGCAGATATATTACACATCTGTTTTTTCCTCTGCCTTCTCATATCAGCCTGTATTCAGAACCAAGATTTCAAAAACCAATAAAACAATCAGATTCCAGGAAAAAATGTAAAAATCTTCAACCAGGAATTAAAAAAAGAGTACGAGATAAAATTCTATAAAATACCTATTGACAAACTGGTGAACGTTCGAATACGAGATCCGTGAGTGCTTCTTCGACATCTGTTAGCAAACTCAGTACCAATAAACAAATCCTACATTAGAATCAAGAAGAAAAAGAGTACGAGATAAAATTCGAAAGTAAAGCGCAATGAAGTAGAGGACTTGGGATTATATGAACCAAAAACCTAGATTAGAAGAAAAAAATAAGCTGTAGGAGATATGCAAATTCATGATGAAGAAACCTGTGAACGGAGACATGATTCGAGACTTAGAACGAAGACATGATTCAGAACGGACACGAGCGAGGAATGGGTGCGGAGTAATTCAAAACGGAGACCTATGAAGAGAACTGGATTCTGTGGCTTTTGGGGTTGGGTTGGGCGGCTCTGATGATGGGCCTCACCATACATGGCCCAGGTCTATTACTTCTTTTATTTTGTACACTTCCTTTGTATTTTTTTATTTAATTTCTTTTTGTCGTAAATACTTCTTTCTAGAAATTAGGTTTTTGAATTAAATTTTAACATTCTAAAAACTATTTCAGAATTACATTTGGGTTGCGATTAGGGGTGATCAAAATTTTCCTACCTTACAAAAAATGGTGAAAGAAATACATTTCGGGTTGGTATTATTTATGGGGTATCGGAAATAAAGGATATGTTGCAAGATGGCTAACTTCGTGTGGGTGTAGTGCAGGTCGAAATAAAGTACCCTGTCGAAATAAACCTTAATTATTTAATTCCAATTTTTAATTATATATTTTATATTGATATTGATGTTCTATGAAATTAATTAGTCTTATATATAATTATTTATTTGTTTTACATGGATTTTTATTTATATTAAATAACTGTAGGTATAAATTTTGTAAATTTTTTACCTACCTAAAATAGTAGTAGGCATAAGTCTTTGAAGGCTTTTACCTACATTGACAATTTGTTGGTAAAAGAACTTTAAGTTGTATTGAGTTTTGCCTACACCAAACAAAAGTGGGTATAGATTTTTGAGTTATACCTACATTAAACATTTGTAGGTAAATTTTTTTTTTAGTTTTACCTACACTAATTCAGGTCTATAGGTAAAAGTGTCTGTAGGCACAGGTTATTTTTTTTGTAGTG